TGTGTGTGTTCTCTGGTGTATCACCAGGTGGGAATTACGACTGAAACTTTTCCCACAATCTGGACACTCAAACGGTTTCTCCCCAGTGTGAGTCCTCTGGTGTATCACCAGGTGGCAATTGTGACTGAAGGTTTTGCCACACTCCTGACACTCATACAGTTTCTGTCTTGTGTGTGTCCTTTGATGTACAACCAGGTTGGAATTCTGAATGAAGTGTTTATCGCAATGTGTACATTTATATGGTGCCTTCTGAGTGTGAGACCTCTGATGTGTCACCAGGTGGGAATCCTGAGTGAAACATTTCCCACAATCTGGACACTTGTACAGTTTCTCTTCAGTGTGAATCTTCTGGTATATCACAACATCAGAATTCTGACTGAATCTTTCCCCACAATCCGGACTCTCATATGTTTTTTCCTCAGTGTGAGACATCAGGTGGCTCTCCAAGTGGCAATTCTGACTGAAAGTTTTACCACACTCCTGACTCTCACATGGTTTCTGTCCTATATGTGTTTTCTGATGTAATACCAGATCAGAATTGTGATTGAAACTTTTCCCACAATCAAGACATTCATACAGTTTCTCCCCAGTGTGAGTCCTCTTGTGTATCACCAGGTTTGAACTGTGACTGAACGTTTTTTCACAGTTGGGACACTTGTATGGTTTCTCTCCAGTATGTGTCCTCTGATGTACCACAAGATCAGAATTGTGACTGAAACTTTTTCCACAATCTGGACACTCATACGGTTTCTCCCCAGTGTGAGTCCTCTGGTGTATCACCAGGTGGGAATTCTGACTGAAACTTTTCCCACAATCCAAACATTCATATGGTTTTTCCCCAGTATGAGTCCTCTTGTGTATCACCAGGGCATAATTCTGACTGAAACTTTTCCCACAATCCAGACATTCATATGGTTTCTCCCCAGTATGAGTCCTCTTATGTATCACCAGGTTGGAACTGTGACTGAAACCTTTGCCACAGTCCGTACACTCATACGGTTTCTCTCCTGTGTGTGTCCTCTGATGTACCACCAAGTCAGAATTGTGACTGAAACTTTTCCCACAATCTGGACACTCATATGGTTTCTCCCCAGTATGAGTCTTGTGGTGGCTCACCAGATGGGAATTCTGACTGAATCTTTTCCCACAATCCAGACACTCATATGGTTTCTCCCCTGTGTGGGTCCTCTTGTGTATCCTTAGGGTGGCCTGCTTCCTAAAGATTTTGCCACAGTGATGACACTGAGCGGACTTTTCTCCAGTTTGGATCCTCTCGTGCATATTCAGCTACGATCTGCAATTTTTGCAGGGAGGTTTCCACCAGTTACATTTTTGGATTCTCAAGGTCCAAAATATTTTTGATCCCTTCTTCGATGGTGCTTTGATTCAAGCTACTCTTTCTCCCTTCACATGATGAGGCTTGCACGATTGTCTGCCCTATGTATCTATCCAAGCGACCCATTCCTGATTTCCAGATTATTTGGAATTTGGAAATGATCTTGTCCTTGACCTTTTTAGGGAGTGTTTCAGTGAGTTCCACAGACTCAATTATTTCCAGTTTAAAATTCTCTGTCTGTTATTCTCTCTTTTGTCTCTCACATGCCTTGGGAAGCAGAATAATTTTGTGGTTTTCTGTAGGAAGTGGAAAATTTTTTGATTGCTGGCTGGATTTGTTTTCCTTTTTAATGTTGCTTCTGATTCTCACTTGTTAAGGATGGTTTTCTGGACATCCTCTTCATCTAAAAGATTCACATAAAGTGGTGAGTTTAATCTTTATAAAAGGATGCACAAGATGTGAAAACAGCAAGGAAAATTCATACATTACAATAAAAAACAAATGCCAAAAATCATAGGTTAACCACTAACATTAACCATGATTCATTTGACACATAGAAAGCTAGTGAGAACCAAGTTCAAATATCCACAGAATCATGAAATCCTCTTCTGGTTTTGCATAATTCAGAAATCCTTAGCACTGCAATCTGTTATTATCACAAGAGTTTATAAATTCGGAGGAAAGCTTAAAAGAGCCAAGGTTACCTACCCCTGTGCTAGACCAAACAGGGTCTCTGATGATGTTGTTCTTGGATGCCCATAAGACCCACTCTGGCTGGTAAGAAATCAGCCTAATTTGGAAGTCCACAATTTTCGGTCTCTTCTTTCCTTATCACAGTTCCCAGAGTTACAAATATTCTCTTCTATTTCTCTTTTTTGCATGTATCACAGAACACATTTTATCTCTTGGGAAGGCCGTTGGTAAAGGCAGTCGAAAGCTGCTTTTTCATTCAAAATTATACAGCTCAACGAAGAATTAAAACTGACATTGAAAACTTCCACAGGTGCTGAATTTCAGTGAGGTTGACCCAGATAAACTAGGATGCAGCCCACAGCAGTCAACCGGAATCTGAGCAGGTAAGAGAGGCAGATTTAGGGGCTGCATCTCAAAACAAGCCCACATGGACAGGGCTGCCCACTGGCCAAAGCCTGGGATGGATGCCTCTCAGCTCTCTGTCACCTGCTTGCAGATACCACTGGCCTCCTCCTAGCACAGATCACCCAATCGGAGGGGAGTCCCTTCAGCCTCCGGGCTGGGAACTACGATCCGTTCGAGTTCAGATCTCCCTGAGTCCTCCTCCTCTTCCTCCCCTCCCGATCTTGGGCAGTTGATCCTCTCCAGCAGCGACAGGAGAAGAACGTGGGAACGGTGCCTCCCCACCCCCAACCTTCCGGAAAATACCAGGAGGCCACACGCTGGCAGCTGGGCTGCACCGAGATGTTGGGTTGGGGAGAAGGAGGGGGGGGGACTTGAAGGATTTTAAGGGGATCGGAGATCCGTTCGCAGAAGCAGCAATCAAGGAGGATAAGCAGCGGCGCAGCAACTTGCACCGAGCAGAAAACCTTGCAAGCAAAGACTGAGACTCGGAAGGGGCGAGGGCGCAACTGGGAAAAGCCCAACTCCTTGCTCCCTCTCCCCCAAGCAATCCCTCCTTCCCTTCCCGCACCTGGGGATTCCCCCTCCTCCTCCACCTGATGGAGCCCCCGCCCTCTTGCAACGTCCACCCGCCCTCTTGCAACGTCCTTGCTCACCTGGAGCCCCTCCCCGCGAGAGGATCTCCGCAGCCCTGGCGCAGTAGGCGGCTGGAGACCAGGAAGTGGGGAGAGCGGGAGGGGCCGGAGACTGGGCTCCCAGCCCTTCCACCCCCCCCCCGTCCTGCCTCCTCTCTAGGCGCAAAGGAAAAACTCTCTGCGTTTAACCCCTTCGCTGAAGCCCGGGCAGGGAGGAGGCGGAACTGAGCAAGGCCAAAATTCCCCCAGCCCGGCCCCGCCAGAGAGGATCGCTCGCATCACCAAAGCCAAAGGCTCAAAGCAAGCACCGAGACTGAAAGAGAAAGTTGCATGGGCTCATCTGCATCTATAGGGGAAAATTAGGAACTGAAGATGAGTGATACTGTCCTGCAAGTGCGGTGGGACTACAACACCCACCATCCTTCACTCCTAGCCTTATAGAGAATGTAGGGTTTTACACTGGGGGGGGGGGGGACTCAAATGTACAGGTACAGATGAAGTGAAACCTGGCTCAATAACAGAAACTGTTGGAGGGATCCTGGAGTCCTAGTGGACAAATATGAGCCAGCATTGTGTTGTTGTTAGTTGCGAAGTTATGTCCGACCCATCACGACCCCATGGACAACGTTCCTCCAGGCCTTCCTGTCCTCTACCATCTTCTGGACTCCATTTAAGCTCACGCCTGCTGCTTCAGTGACTCCATCCAGCCACCTCATTCTCTGTCGTCCCCTTCTTCTATTGCCCTCCATCTTTCCCAGCATTAGGCCCTTCTCCGGTGAGTCCTTCCTTCTCATTAGGTGGCCAAAGTACTTGAGTTTCAACTTCAGGATCTGGCCTTTTAAAGAGCAGTCAGGGTTGATCTCCTCTAGGACTGACCGGTTTGATCGCCTTGCAGTCCAGGGGACTCGCAGGAGTCTTCTCCAACACCAGAGTTCAAAGGACTCAATTCTTTGGCACTCAGCCTTTCCTAATAAGCCAATGCAGTCCTAGGTTGCATTAACCGATGGATACAGAATCAAGATCATGTGAAGTGTTAGTGCCACTATATAAAGCCCTAGTAAGACCACTTGGAATATTGCATTCAGTTTTGCTCACCACATTCTAAAAAGTTATGTTGAAATTCTGGAAAAAGTGCAGGGAAGAGCAACAAAGATGATTAGGGATCTGGAGGCTAAAATATATGAAGAATGTTTGCAGGAATTGGGTATGTCTAGTAAAAAGAAGGAGTAGGGGTGATAGCAGTGTTCCAACATTTGAGGGGCTGTTCAACCTATTCTCCAAAGCCCCTGAAGGCAGGACAAGAAATAACAGATGGAAATTAATCAAGGAGAGAAACAACTTGGAACTAAGGAGAAATTTCCTAACCCTGAGACCAATCAACCAGTTGAGCAGGGGGTTGGATCAGACAACTCCAATGTCCCTTCCAACTCTGTTATTCTGTTGTTGCTGGAATGCTGATATTTGTTCAATATCTATACAGGATGTCAGGAGGAATCTGGGAACACCTTTTCTGTCTACCAATTGCATTAAAGGGCATAGCTAAAACATGCAAATGCCCTTTCAACAAAATTTGTCAGTCTGCAAAGATGCTATTGGATGCCTTCTGACTTTTGGCTACTATAAATGCACATGGCTCTTCTGAACATATGGACAGTCCCTTGTTCTGAGTAGGACGGTCAGTTTCATGGCTTCTGTTAGAAGAAAGTCCTGGGTCTGAAAGCAGGCTGGGTTATCCAAAGAGTGCACAGGGCAATAAGGAGAAGTAAAACAATAGATCAGTGTTTCTCAACCTTGGCAACTTTACGATGTGTGGACTTCAACTCCCAGAATTCTCCAGCTAGCATTGCTAGCTGGAGAATTTTGGGAGTTGAAGTCCACACATCGCAAAATTGCCAAGGTTGAGAAACACTGCAATAGATGGTTCCAACAAAATTACAAATTTGTGGTGGTTATTTTTATAGAGAAATCTTTCCTTTGTTTCTCCCAGGGATAGAGCCAGCCCTCTAGGAGGAATTATTGGAAACTGCAATTAGCTGGATGGCCAAAAGGGGGAGCCAAGCATCTATTGCAGTGGTTCTCAACCTTTTTAATGCTGCGACCCCAACCGGTAGTAAGTCGAGGACTAAACCGGTCGTAAGTCGAGGACTAAACTGGTCGTAAGTCGAGGACTAAACCGGTCGTAAGTCGAGGACTACCTAACCGGTCGTAAGTCGAGGACTTTCCCTGCCCGGGAGCGCCGCACATGCGTGGTTCCGCCGCCTGCGCCGGCCGAGGCATAGCTGGCAAGCGGCAGAGACGGAGCAGGCCAACCACCAGCTGGCCCAGCCCAAGGGAGGTAAGGCACCCGCCGGAAAAGGGGGAAAAAATGGCGGACAGCCTTGCTTGGCGACCCCCATGAAATGGTTGATCTACCCCAAATGGGGTCCTGACCCACAGGTTGAGAACCACTGATCTATTGTGTATCCTGAAAGGAATTGTTATTTTATATTTATTGAATTTATTTGCCCCTCCCCACCAATGTCATACCAAACAATTCTGGGCAGCTGAAAATGTTTACTTGAATGGGCAATCACCTTTGGCCAGTCTCAACCTCTTTGTCAAATTTTGTAGCTTTTGTTTTAATGTAGGTTTTCACCTTTTGCCCTGGAAGTAGCTGTGAAGATGAGATGTGAGGAACAATGGAAGATGAGATGGCAACAGAAGATTGTTTTTACTAAGAGGTTTAAGTTGTGGCGGGTCTGACACTTCGCACATGTTTAAATTTGAAGCCAATCGGCACTTGAGGCTCAGGCCAAATAAGCCTCTTGGTTCCTCCTTAGCTGGTCTGGGCTGTTGGGCATCCTTCCGTAAATAGGTTCCATAATGTAACCTATTAGGGGGAAAAAATTCTATGCAACCTGATCAAATCAAATATTTATTACAGTGAAAGACCAGCATAAGAAACATGGCGTGCATTCCATTAAAATAATACAGAAAGTAATCAGAATCTAAAAATAATTATTATAAATAGCAAAAATGTATAAGTATAGGTATAGGTATAAAAGAGTATAGGTATACAGTGAGGGAAAAATTATTTGATCCCCTGCTGATTTTGTACATTTTCCCACTGAAAA